TTTTGGCGGGAGTGGCAGAGGGGCATTTCTTATTCTTCATTAAAATATTTATCAAAGTCGTGTAATGGGAGAGAGCTATAGAAGAAAGGTTTTATTCTCCCATCTACATTTCCTGTGCCGTTATGGGCATTATCATAGCTGTGATATAACAACACCGTAATTCATGGACGAGTCGGATTTTGTTGACATTTTGTCCACAGATGAATGCCTTAAAGATAGAGGATGAAAAGTTGCACTTTTGCCGTGTGAATTTCAGTAAGGAGTAAGTGTCGGAACCTACAACAAAAAAAAATACTTTCAGGTTTATTTAGATCGTGTTCCAACTCTTCAGATGGTTAAAAAGTGGTTTGGTAGATTTTGTCACGGTGATTTTAACCTGAATGATCAATCACCCTCCAGGTGACCTTCCAATGCTGATGAAGACACACTGCTTACCATCGTAGAGAATAAACTGAAGATTTCGATGGAAAACATTGCTAAGAGTTTGAAAATTGATATCTCAACTCCCATTTGAAGAGGCCAATTTTGGTAAATTGATAAGGTATCAATTTCCACTACAACAATGCAAGATCACATGTTGCAAAACAGACCTTGCAGAAGTTTAGAGAGTTGAAATGGGAAACCCTCCAGCATTCACCATATTCCCCTGACTAGGCTTCTTTGGATTTTCATTTGTTCAAGTACTACTGTACTGATGCGGCATTCACCCTGGGCGGATTGAGCCGGCTTCTTCCTGTTATGAGAAGAAGATTCTTGGGATAAATTACGGAAGTAGGGTACCCAGGCCTACTCGGATAACGTTCTTGCTTGCCGCATGAATTCCCACAGACGCAGAGACAGGAACGACCAGAAGCCGCCGGTTACCGATGCAGACGCTCCTTGGATTTTCACCAGAGCCCTTGTTAGCTGGCGTGTGTGTCAGACCTGTCCGCCTTTGGTGGCCCTACCAGGAACGGTTCCAAGGCATAACTCTGACACTACTGTTTACACCCCCCACCCCACCGACTGTGAGGTAAGGGTTGGACTTTGGGGGCTTACAGTACCAGGTGTTCCCAAGCGGTCCCCCATCTAAGTACTGACCTGGCTCTACGATGCTTAACTTCGGTGATCGTACAAGAACCGGTGTTTCAGTGTGATTTGTTCAAGTCTCTACAGAACAATTTACATGACAAAAAATTGACTCTACAGTCAGTCCAAAACTACCTTACAAGCTTCTTTTGACAAAAAAGGGCATCAAAAAGGACTTGTAGAATGACAGGAGACAGTTGTTAAAAACAATGGTTACTATGTACTTGACTAATAAATGTGTTTTCTCCTTTTTTTTTCTTCTTCTTTTTTTTTTTTTTTTTAATTTTCTAATCAGCACAAACTTTTGCAATGATCTAATATTACTAATCATTAATCAGGTGTTGATTTCTTTTGTTATTTTCTTATATAACATGGCTGGCCTGGCTTGATGCTGGGTCCTTTCCATGTTGGTCAGTACTGCCGCCAGTCAACTGATGGTTACCCGCTTGCTGCTTCATTTCTTCATCTGCTTCTGCCCCATATTGTGTTCCTTGATCACAGAGCAGTGAAGATCAAATTTCATTTGTACTTAAGCGCTGGGTCAAACAATGCAAAACTGTGCTACAAAACTACAAAGTTGAACGTTTCTGCTGGCAAAAATAAGAATGACATAAGATGACAAAGAAGGTTGCCAGGTTAATTTTCAATTGGTTTATACAGTATAATGCTGCAGGACGTCCTGGCTCCTGTGCTACATGACAACTCCATCTGGTCTTTAGTCACCAGTTTATCTATGATTGAATCTTGCAGCTAACCGTGAAGTTGGTCACTTTAATCCAAGCCTCTTCCTGTCCCACATTGTATGTGTTTTGATCACAAGGTAAGCAAGGATCGAATCATTGCCAGATATTGTTGGATCGGTGTCATTCAGGTGGGACGATGTTATAAGACAAAAAAAAAAAGAAAGTTGTGTAGATCAATAAGGTTTATATAACTGACGTTTATACAGGAACACTTTTGTTTAAGGATCTGCAAGCATGCAGCCTAACGATCATTCCCTCATAGTCTAATTTTGTAGCACTTTGTTCTTTGTTTCCAAATTGGAGTCGAGGTTTCAAGCTTTAAGGCAGACACTTCTTCAGGTGGCAATTTACGGAATGTTGTTGAAGGACTCATCTCCTTCTCTCTATCTCTGTTGTCACATAGAGACTTTCAATTCACCCACTTTACAATTTCATCATAACACTCTTTTCAATTCATCTAATATTCTGGAACAAGGCATGTGTTCTTTGTGGTAGCAAATCACATGGGAATTGACAAAGTGATTGTCTCCCTTTGGCATAATGGAAACACATTTCTGCCTCAATTGCTACTCTCTCTCTCCCTCTCTCTGTAATTCCCCTCTGATTTAACACTTTTATGGACCCTTGCACAGCATCAGTGTGGGGTTGAGACGTGATCTCAGGATTTTCCAAATATCTAATCAGAACTCTCTGCTGACTGTGTCCTAGGAATTAATTTGCATACCAAAATTTAGGGAATCCTTCCTCTGTGGAGTAGAGGTAGCAGAGCATTGACCTGCCCGACTTACTCCCTCATTCTCTTATTTGTACCTCATACTAACACCCCTCAATGGCCGTAGTCTTTTTTCTCCCACTCTCTCTCATTCACCAATCTACTGGGTTAGCATGTGTTCATTAATTAAGATTATCTGTTTCAACCTCAGATCATCAGAAAAGTGCTTTGTCATAAAAAGTTTTTTTTTTTTTTTTTATATCTTCCAGCTTTCCCATTTTGGATAATTAACATTTCTTTCCCTGTCTTCAGGGAAGACTTTGACTAAACTGTTATATTACCACTTGACCAAATTCTTTGTCACTTGAATTCTGTATTATATTCAAAGAAATCTTATTCCCTTAGCAACAGATACATCTTCAACCCTTACCAACAAGTGATATAGAATCATTTCTTTACCATCTTCTTCACCTACTTGTAGCCATAAAATTATAATTTGTGACTAGTTTGGTGGTTTCTGTCCAAAAAAAGTGCTATCTTTCGAGGAAAACAAAATAAAAGTATGTTTTCTTTTGTTTTCGGTATGTCCTTCAATCTATCTACTACCTACTTTATCTTTGTGTTCACTTTCAATTTAATTTAAGTCTTTTTTTTCTTTCTTCAAATTATTAGCATTTTACATTGCCACAATAGGTCTTGATACAACATAATTAAACCTTCCCATTAAAGATTATATCGTGACACTTTGTCTTTTTCTAAAACTTGGAGAATTTTTAAAAAAAAAAACATTGGGGATTTTCTCTGCAGCAGGTCACACAGCTTCTGGCTTCTGCCAGTTCCTTGTTTTTGGGTTGCCTAAATGCCCATTTTATATTTTGCCCAACTCCTACTGTGCCTCAAGATTCACTATATTTTCAATTTTGAAGAACCAATGGTCACTTATTCAAAACAATACATTCTTTGGCAACAAATTTTGAGTTTATAAATTCTTTCCTGTGTCCTTCATGTTAAAGAATTTTCTTTGTTGTTGACTCTTCAATATGACCAATTAAAAAATCTTTGCCCACTTTGCATCTTTGCAAAACCATATTTCATATTGTTTACGTCATCGGCTTGCAAATCATGACAATTCCATTTGTTTATCATTTATTTGCCATTTTACATCTTTTTTTCTTTTCTTTTTTTTCTTTTTTTCCTTGCTCCATATTTCAATTTTTAACATTTTTCAACTCCCTCCAATTCTCCAAATTCTATACAGGGTTTTCACATAAATCTTTTTAATCTTTCTTATACTACCAGTGTCACAACAGTGTCTTGATTAACCCTTTCAACTACAACCAGTGACACTTCATAGTGTCACATTAAGATGTGCAGTAAATTGCTGAAGTGATATTTACAGTGAATGCTGATCAAATTTAAAGATGGCTAATTTAACAAATAACTAGATATTGATAAAATTGCTGAGTGGGACTGTATGAAAGTAGAACTATGACTGAAAGTAATTTTATTTTTCCATCAATATTATTTAGGCTTTCTCTTTTCATTAACTCTCTTCTTTTTATTTGTCCTTTACACTTTTTTATTTCTTCTTTTTACTCACCCCCCTCCCCAACTTCTTTTTCCTCTCAATTTTTTATTAACATCTACATAAGTGTAAAAGAAATTTGAGTGCTTGCCACCTTAAACCAGATGTAGCTGCTTCTATCTTCCCCTTAGCAAATCTTGAGTATGTCACTTGAAATATGTAGAAATTTTAGATGTGATAATTATTGATTTTATATTTGGTACCAGCCTATTGCCAAGGGAGGGGCCTGCCCCTTAAAAAAATCATTTGCCTCATCTCTATAAAAATGATGTGAACTGATTTTAGTGTGCAAATTCTTACTCATGACCTTCTCCCCCAACTTAAATTGATTGATTTTGTTTTTTTTTTACAGCTTATCAACCTTTTGCAGTTTATTTAAAGCCAAAAAATCTTTTTAGATTGTTAGAATTTTTTTTTTTTTTTTTTTTTTGAGATAATACTGGTTTTAGTGACATAAGTTCTACTTATTAACCCATAGCTATGAGGAGAAGTGGATTCATACCTTTCCTAAGGGTATGTGCACAAATCCAATAGGAATTGGAACTCTGCTCTCTGATTAACAATTCTGAACCATATACATTGCACCACCCATACATCCAAGCTTACGACACTTGCTATTCTCAAGCAGTCACCCATCTAGTTACTGACCAAGCTCCAAATTGCTTAACTACATGATTATACAGGAATCAAGTGTTTCAACTTGATGTGGCCATAAGCCATCTTTCATGACTTACTTCAAGACTGCTGCCCCCTTAAAAAACAAAACAAAAACAAATTATTGCTGTGCTAGATGACTATCATAAACAATGTGCCTTATCAGTTTAATCCATTTTTATTTTCTCTCTTTATAATTATTCTCATGAATAAAAAATATTTCTTCTTTGTCCTCAAGGTTTTATTCCGGTTGAACTGCTTTGTATTCACTCTGTGTTTTGTGATGGACAGGCCTTACCAATTTTACTATTTTGTGCCATTAGTTTCCTTTTGGTACATCATTGTTTACATCACAATGGCAGCCTGGCCACATGTGACTAAATCTACAGCTGAGAGTGAGTACCATTACACCTATCTCTAACTCTTCCTTTTATCTTTTTTTTTTTCCTTTTTTCTTTTTTTTCCTTTTTTTCCCTTTTTCCTTTTTTCTTTTCCTTTTTTTTTTTCTTTTTCTTTTTTTCTTTTCTTTTTCTTTTCCTTTTTTCTTTTTTTCTTTCTTTTCTCTTTTTTCTTTCTTTTCTCTTTTTTCTTTCTTTTCTCTTTTTCTTTCTTTTCTCTTTTTCTTTCTTTTCTCTTTTTTTTTCTTTTCTCTTTTTCTTTCTTTTCTTTTTTTTTCTTTTCTCTTTTTTTTTCTTTTCTCTTTTTTTTTCTTTTCTCTTTTTTTTCTTTTCTCTTTTTTTTTTCTTTTCTCTTTTTTTTTTTTTCTCTTTTTTTTCTTTTCTCTTTTTTTCCTTTTCTCTTTTTTTCCTTTTCTCTTTTTTTCCTTTTCTCTTTTTTTTTCTTTTCTCTTTTTTCTTTTCCTTTTTTCTTTTTTTTCCTTTTCTCTTTTCCTTGTTTCTTTTTTTTTTTCTTTTCCTTTTTTCTTTTTTTTTTCCTTTTTTCTTTTCTTTTTTCTTCTTTTTTCTCCTTTTTTTCCTTTTTTCTTTTCCTTTTTTCTTTTTTTTTTTTTTTTTTTTTTTTTCTTTTTTTTTTTTTTTTTTTCCTTTTTCTTTTTTTTTTTTTCCTTTTTCTTTTTTTTTTTCCTTTTTCTTTTTTTTTCCTTTTTCTTTTTTTTTTTCCTTTTTCTCTTTTTTTTTCCTTTTTCTCTTTTTTTTTCCTTTTTCTCTTTTTTTTTCCTTTTTTTTTTTTCTTTTTCCTTTTTCTTTCTTTTCTTTTTTCCTTTTTCCTTTTTCTTTTCCTTTTCCTTTTTTTCTTTCTTTTCTTTTTCCTTTTTCCCTTCCTTTTTCTTTTTCTTTCTTTTCCTTTTTTCCTTTTTTTCCTTTTTCTTTTTTTCCTTTTTTCTTTTTTTCCTTTTTTTTTTTTTCTTTTTTTTCCTTTTTTCTTTTTTTTCCTTTTTCTTTTTTTTCTTTTTTTTTTTTTTTTTTTTTTTCCTTTTTCTTTTTTTCTTTCTTTTTCTTTTTTCCTTTTTCCTTTTTTCTCCTTCTTTTTTCCTTTATTTTCCTTTTTCTTTCTTTTTTGCATGTGTATTTTATGTACACACATACACACACACACACTATCAATGCAAGTATTTCCATTAGTTTTCTAAAAATTAGGAAAAACTAAAAGTAGATAAAAATGTAAGTGTATGTGTGTGTGTATATATATATATATATATATGTGTGTGTGTGTGCACACACTCACTCACTTAACTCTTACATTATTAAGAACTTTTAGTTTTTCCTAATTTTTATGAAACTAATAGAAATATTTGCATTGCAGAATATTTTCCTTTATATTTATAAATGATAGTAAACTAAAAGTCATTCTTCTGATGTAGCAACAGTTTCATTTATTTTATCAGTATTTAAAACCTTCGCACTATTACCAAAGTTACAGTAACTCTAATAGAGATTGTTATTTAAAACTATAAATATAAAACATATGCCGGCAACAAATTTATGAGAATAACGTTAATGTGTATGTTCTATGCTCTGAAAGTAGCTTCAGAAGTCTTCTATCCATTGATTTTTGTGAGCTGTTGTATTTCTTCATATGAAGCTAATTGCACAACAGCATCCATTATAGCATTCCATAAAGTTCATCTTGTTATCCACCATGTAAACCCTCCCTGTTCAATATGCTTCCTAAGTTTTCTATTGGTTAAATGGTAGGCAAACAAATTCGCCACTTCATCAAATAACGTTGTTCAGACTCTTGTTCTCATCTTTAATGTCATATTCACAATGTTTCAACCATTGTACACTCAGACCTTCTTCAGGTGATATACATTGTAAAGACCTGTGAGTTCAATACCTGGCTACAGCAGAAGTGAACAAAATCTTGCAGAGTTACTAAAGGGAAATAGCTGAAACTGAGATATCCAGAAGAAGCATGGCATGTGGAACAAGAACAATTTTACCCTGGTGGACTAAATAAAGGGTTCAGTTCAAAATTCCAGCATATATCAACTGAAGAAGGCCAAAGTGTACAACAGCCAAAACATTGTGAATATAAAAATAAGGAGGAGGACAACAGTCTAAACAATATAAATAACTTCCTTTCTTGCTGACAAAGCAGGTTGCTTTTGATTCTTTGCTATATTAAATGTCATAGGCATTGACTTTATTGAGTATTGTTAATAACTGAATCTTTTTTTGTTGTTGTTTCAGCCAATCTGTTACATTATCTTTATATGATTTCAAAGTTTGTGGTGCTTGCTGTTGTCATCACATTATTTTATCTTTCCGAGGTAAGTTTTCATTTCTAGATTCAGTTTTAAGTGATCTGTAGGTAAAGAGCTAATCTTTTAAGTGTTAGCCATGCAGTAAACTGGATAGGATCAAAAGAAAGGTTCATATAACTATATCTAGTAATTCAGCAATCTTTTCTTTTTTTCTTATGGATCATGCCTCTAAAATATCCTTTTTAAAATAGCATGTTTTTAATCTTGAAAAATAAAATTCCTATCAGAGAAAAGTAGAAAGCTTTACCTTGATTCCTGCTGAAAAGTGAACGTTTTTCTTTAACACGATTTCTCAAACATTCAAGCCAGTAGGTGAAAATTAATAAATATACTGTTTAATAAAAAAACGGAGTGCCTACTACTCAAATATGAGTATCCACTAAAAATATTTAAAGTGATAAAAAAGCACTTACTGTAAGATATTTTCTTAATTGTTAATAGTCCTGGGTATGACAATAAACTACATCTGGAAGCAAGGCCTCTGATCAGAAGATTTTGAGGAGCATGGAACCACCTCTTACCTGTGGTTGTTCCCAGGTCCACCCTGACCCGGGGTGGTAGAACCTTTTAGGACCCCAGCTATAGGCAGATAGTGAACCCCTCAAACACTATGAAAGTATAAAAATACATTTTTATAACAAAAATACTATCAATACATTTTTATATAGTAAAGAGAGGAGTGGCAGCACCTATGGAACTCCTGCCCAAACAATAAACTGTTTGAAATTAAACCAACTAAGAGAATGGTGTCAAAAACGGCAAACTTGAAGAGAAGAAGTGATTATGTCCAGGCTCCATATTGGGCATACTACCATAACCAATTCATATATCATTAAAAAAAAAAAAAAAAAAAAAAAAGTAAGACCCTCTGATATGTGTGATGTGCCAAGAGCCATACATCATAAAACATACTGATAAACTGAAGCAATTTTAATTTAATCCACTTAAAATCCTACCAAACAAGAAACTTAAAAGAACTTTTTCAAAATGCTGATTCACTTTACATATTTCAGATCTTAAGAGAAATTAAACTGATTTCAAAAATATAATGGGGAAAAAAAAACATAACAAACAGCAGTCTTACTATTTAAAATAAAAAATTTTGATTTCTTAAATACAAAACTTTACTGAAAAAAATATTAATTAAATTTCAGCATTCAATGACGCAATGGGTTGATATGTTGTAAAACAAACCAAACTTAATTGATAAGAGATTTTGCATTAGTTACAAAAACAGAATTATTAAAATATGGTCTTGAGTACTAAAATCAGAACTCATTTTTTTCTTTTTTTTTTATTAATAACTTGAAAGAAATGTATTATTGAATTTGGATAATATCTTAGATAAATTAATTTTTTATATTAGATTGGAAATTCAATAGAATTAGAGAGGTTCACCTATCGTCCAGTTCACACTCCTCCTTTTGAATACAATTAGATGTTATCCCTTGTTTCTTGGTTAGGATTGGGTTTCCAATTCCTTTTAAAAATCCTTCTTTTTTGATCCCAGTAGCCCCTTTCATTTTAGTGGCATTATTGCCTTGCTTGGGGTGGATTGATTAAAAGAAAAAATTAGGGTTATAAATAGTATAGTCGGATGCAAGGCTACAATAGTGTAAAGCACCTATAGAAATCTAACTCTCTAGCAAATTAGTCTGTAAGTCAAACTTGCTCACCATTTTGACATCGGTAGGTTAGATGATCAAAGAAATTTAGAAATGCTTTTTACAGCTTTGAAGTAACTATTAATGTTATCACATTTTTCATAAGTTGTCTTAGACAAAAAACAGGAATATTCCAGAGTTTATCACATAACCTATGTAACAGATGTTTGTAAATGGTTGGCTGAACAGCTTTAGGAGAGATAGCAAAATGTCCAAACTTCTCAAGAGCTACAAAGGACAGGAAATTATGGAGAGCCATGATCGCCCACATTCTGAAGGGACATGATATATAGATGATGATGTGACTGGTTTCAACTTGAGACATCTAATACTAGTACCAAAAGAGAAAAAAAAATATTTTATAGTAATGCGAGTAAAATAATTTAAAAATCTCTATGTAATTCTATTGAGTCAAAATATTTCCAAACCCGAATGATTTATTTTTCAACTGTATCATAATATTAAACAATAACTTGTAAAGGATCATCCAGAGTATGATGATAAACTACATTTGACAACAAGGCCTCTAATTGAGAGGTTTTGAGGAGTGTGGAATCATCTCATAAATTCTGTTGTTCCTAGGTCCACTGTGACCCAGCGTCTTAGCTATGGGCAAATAGTGAACCCCCCAAACTAGGTTCAAAACACTATGAAAGTATAAAAATACATTTTTAAAATAAAAATTTCCAGCAATAGATTTTAATAGTGAAAAAAAAAAAAAAAAAAAAATTACCAAACCTCCCAAGAAAAATTAAATTTTGGCATTAAATGTCCCATAAAGAGTTGATATGCCATTAACCAAAACAAACTTGTAAATGATTCTGTGAATAAAGACATCTCTCATTTTTTATAATTCTTTTTCAGGTCTTTTTTGAGAAAGTTTTTCTTTCTCGGCCTTTCAAAGCATTATTTGTTACCTCTGATGATTCTATACGAGAATGGAGGTTCCGTTGGCAGTTAGATAGATATGTAAGTATATGCTTCACTCTAAACTTTTACTATTTCACACTTAGCATTTCTATTATCTTTAACAAGTCATTCAGTCACAGGTGGTGATCTCTCTCACCTGTAAATATGTATATGGTTACAATAATATTAATCCAACTTGCAATAAAAATTTTCTTATGCATGCAACAATTCTAACTATAAACCTCTTTATATTGAGGCAGGTATTTTGAATAAATGTCCCTTTTTTTAAAACATAGCATGGAACTATGTGATTGTATTATTATATAAGGCTTTTCATATTGGAGGAGTTGCAGCCTGTGTTGAAAATCAGCATTTCAAATGCTGGCATAGGTGAGAACGATGCAACTACTTGGAAGTAAGTTTTTTTGAACGTTTATAAAAAGAAAATTAATTTGGACGTGTTATCAGTAGGCAACCATTATTGCTAAAAAAAATTGATTGTATTTTATCTCTCCCCACACTTTTTTTTTTTTTTCATATTCTTTTTATTCATATCTCTTTATATGTTTATATATATATCTCTTCTTTTTTTTTTTTTTTTTTTTTTTTTTCCAGAGCACATTGTATGGCATGTTGTTTGCCTTTGGGTATCAGTTGCTGATTAAATACCGTATAATAGATGACAGTAATAGAGAGACACTTTTCTCCAAAGGAATTTCTTGGTGTCTCTGCATTTTTTCTATTTTGGGCATTGCAGTAAGCATTCTCTCCATATTACTCTCTTCTAATTTCTTGCTTTCCAGCCAACTACGATCATCAAAAATTTAAATGCAACATCAATCCCTATCTTCTGTCTTCCTAAATCCTGTTCTTTCAACTCACAAAAATCTCCTCATTCTCTTTAACTCTCAGTAACTCCTGGCATCTTAGTGGCATTATTGCCTTGCTTGGGGTGAAATTAAAAAAAAAAAAAAAAAATTTTTTTTAATTTTATTTTACTATTTAACTTTTATTTCCCACTTTTGTAGTTTTTTTTTTTGTTTTTAAAATACTTTTAACTCTGTAGAATGATATATATATATATATATATATATATATATATATATATATATATATATATATGCATGCATGCGTGGTACTTATTGGAAAGTGCACAATATCAGTGATAGAGCTAACATATTCAGTTGTATGGATATGAGTTTGTGACCCTGTGTTTCATGCTTTTGTGGTCATCAGATAAACTATATATAGAAGGCATGGTGTAGTAATGGATAGTGGCAGTCTAGGCTCTAGCCTTGGTTGACACCAGTCTAGGAGAAAGAAAACTCTGAATTCAAAACTGTATGTAACCTTGGTGAAGCACATTATGCAGCTAAGGAAAGGATCGTGGAATTCATATTGACTCAATGATTTGAACCATGGTCGACCAAATAATAAATATATATATATATATATATATATATACTTTATTTTAGATGTACTTTTATAAGCTTTTGGGTGGATTTAAAGATATTTATAAAATACTCAACCCATGCTGCCAAATATAAAATTTAAGTCCTTGAATATTTTTTTTTCTATTATTGTTGTGTTTGATGTTTTCTCAAAACAGTCAACCATTGTCATAACGAAGACCTTGCCACTTGATTTGACCTGTGCAAGGTTTTACAGAGATAAAAGAAATATATCCAAATATATGTAGCGCACACACACACACACATATATATATATATATATATATATATATATATATATATATACTGAACTGAACTGAACTAAGTCCAACAATTATTTTAAGATATTTTATATTCAGGTCAGTAAATGTTGTTAATACAGTTATTACAAACAGAGCATTTACTTAAATATTTGTGTCTTTATAAGTAACATATAACAATAAAATACACACACACACACACACACACACACACACACACACACTCTGTCATGGTAAAAGTCAGAATAAATGTATGTACAGGTAATACTACTACCATTCATTAATTCTCTTGGAAATGCCTAAAACCTATAATAGCTTTTCTCTGACATCTGGGGATTTAGTACAAACACTGGATTGGTTGCTCACTAAGGAGTCAAGGAGATAAAAAAAAAGAATAGTAATTTTTTAAACCTCCAAGGATTTTTCTTTGTTTTATGAAAATCTCTTCTTTTCCCTCTTTACCTTTGGTGTTTTTCTTTTCAGGGTTACACAGTGTTTGCATGGGTCTGCAGCAGTAAGCCCCAGTGCAATGATGTTCACTCTTACCTAACATTTTTACCTGTAAGTTTTTATTCTGATTTTTAAACTATTTTCTTTTGTGTAAAAACTAATCTCCTTACCTTTCATCTTTATTACAATTTCACTTAATTTTTTTTTTTTTGATTTAGATAAATTAGTCTGCTTTTGTAAATCAGTTGATTTGAAAAGTTCCAGTAGTTTTATGTTTTTGAAAATACAAATGTAAAGTAGCATTCAAAAGGAAAATTTTAAAAGATATTGTACTTTCTTCTTTTGTCTCTACTTACTCTAACAAAAGCCTTTTGATTTTGTACTGTCTTTAAATCCTGAGACCTGTTGTATTAATGTAAACAGACAACCGGCCCTAACAGTCTTTCACTTGACAGATTCACCCCAATGATGTGTTCCAATTCTTATTGGTATTGGTGTGAATAAAAACTGATAAACGTCCAGTGTATACTCACAAGACAATAGAAGGTGAAATAGCACAATAGTAAGAAAAGAAAACACAATATATAGCCCTGTTGGCTGGAGCTTCAGAATACGCTGACTGCACCTCTGCAGAGGGATAAGCACCCCCACCCGACAAGGCATCCTGGGTAAGATGATAAACTACGTCCAACAGCAAGGCCTCTGATCAGGAGGTTTTGAAGAGCATGGAACCACCTCTTAATTGCTGGTGTTCCCAGGTCCACCCTGACATGGGGTGGTAGCACCTGTTAGGGTGTCAGTTATGTGCAAATAGTTAACCCCAAATAGGGGACAAAACGCTGTGGAGGTGTAAAAATAAGTATTAATACTAGCAATACATTTTTCTAGGAAAAACTATTACTAGCAATGATTTTGTGAAGGAAGAATTATTGCCAGCAGTACATTTTTAAAGGAAAATTATTACAAACAAAATATTACCAGCAATACATTTCTTTGGAAAAATATTACCTGCAATATATTTTTGGGGAAAAAAAACAAAAAATATTACCATCAATAGATTTTTGAAGGGAAAAAACATTACCAGAAATACTCACTGTGAAAATGTAAAAATAGGTTTTAATACCAGAAATACTTGTAAAAAGATTATTACCACGAATAAATTTTTGAAGAAAAAAGTATTACCAGCAATACATATTTGAAAGGAAAATATTACCAGAAATAGGTTTTTTGAAGGAAAAATATTACCAACAATAAAAATTGTTGGCATTAAATAACCCATTGAGGTTGATATGCTGTAAAACAAACCGAACCAAACCAAAACACAATATATTGAGTTATTTATTTGCGGGTTTGGCTGACACCATCTAGATGGCTAGGTAAGTGACACTTAGAACATCTTTGCTGCTACTTCTGTATTTTATATTTACTTTAGCCAGTGAGAATTTTGTCTGCCTCTGTCTCTCCCCGGTCTCTGATTTCTGACTCTTTCCTACTATCCCTTTGCTTGTCTCTACATCTGGACAGCTTTCTGACTGACTGCTCATTTTAGTATACTGCCTGACTATATAGGCCCATGACCAGAATTTCTTACCTTCCAACCAAGTGGCACTTGATCCTGAAAGTTTTTATTTATCTATTATTTTAGCCTTCTCTCTAACTTCTGGATGGTGGGTGGTTGCTTTTGAATCTATCTGCCTCTCAGTTTTACTGTGGCTTATCATGAAAACAGCTGGTGCTTAAGTTCCAGGTAAAACCATTAAAAGCACACTTTGTAGGTGTACTAGGCAATTTAACTAGGACCTATTGTGTCACAGTAACTATTAATGCAATGAAAAAAAATGAAAAGTATTTGAAACAAAAGTGAGCTCGATTTGATGGCTGTGTACAACTTATAGTCAATGAGGAAAATATTTTATGCATTGATAACTCCTTCAGATGAGTAGCTTTACTTTTGTTGTTTTGATCACTCTCTTTCAAATCGGAATCTCAATGCTTTATATATTTCATTACATATTTCATAAGTATTTTAACATGAATGAAATTGGGACAAGGAAATTAAATTCTAATCCGTTTTGTTTCTCCCTTAGATTATTTCATATATCATTTTGCGTAATGTCCCTGGCTGGCTTCGGACAAAATACAGCACATTTTTTGCTTGGTTTGGGAAAATATCTTTAGAGGTAAGTTTTGTTGCACTTTGAAGTTCTTTTTCTTGTTTCTTTCTATGAAAATCAGATATAAGCAGGCATTTAAAAATGTATAATAAAAATGTAAAAATGATTGTCAAAACAAAAAATGACAACTTGGAGCAATACCAGAATATAATAACATTAATTATTTGTGATTTTGTAAACCAAATGATCTTGTATGAACTATTAAAAATGTTTTAAAGAAGAACTGCTTATTTATCAAGTTTAACAGCATAAAATTCTCCAGAAGAGTCCACCATACAAAAAAAAAGGCAACTTACCCATCTCCCTGTAGTGGACTCTTCTGGTGACAGAAAGATTGTTTTATGTTGCTAAACTTGATAAATAAACAATTTGTTCATCCCAATGGATTGTACTATTTTTCTGATCATGCAAAAATTAATTCTTTTCTATACACCAAAAATTTTTCCTAGATATAATGTTACACCATAATGACAAGGGCATAAAACTAAGTGTCCATCTCAAATCAATAAAAATGATCTGATAAATTCCTATTCTCACCATATTTACATATGCAGACACACTGATGTGATAAAAATCAGGATAGATGTCTAATGTAGTGTAGGACTAACTTTCGCCCAACAAAGGGCAGTAACTTTGTGTGGCATTGATTCCACAGATTACCAATATTTGCAGGTGCAGGATCTTGCATGTGAATAGACCTTTCCATAACATCCCATAAATGTGCTCAATTGGGTGAATGCATTTGCTATACCTTTTGTCAGAAGCCTCCAGAATGCTAATCAAACCATTTCTGGGCAACTTGAGCTTGGTAACAATGTATTATCCTGCAATCATGGAGCAATAATATGTTTAGGCAGACCAGCAGACCAAAACCATAATACATGAACAGACATGACAGCATTATGGAACCACCATCAGCTTTGTTGACTAATGTTGTCCATAGCCTCATGTGATCTGTGCCACATCCAAAAGGATCCCTAATTCATTCAACCATGCCACATGTTGCCAGTGCTCCATGATCCAGTTAGCAACATCATGAACTCCGGTTGAGTCACTGTGTGGTTTTAAAAGTGGTTTGAATATCCTGTTGAACCTAAAGAGTACTGAACTGACCTGCTGGATAGATGTCTGGTATCTCCTACATTGAATATGGATGTGATTTGAACCAGTGTTGCTTGTCTATCACTGTAGACAATTCTAACCATACTCATTTAATCATGATCATTAAGGACCCATGGTTGGCCACAGCACTGTTCATGGTAGGTGGTAATGCCTTCCTTCAGCTATTCTTTACATACAAGTGACACTGGAGATTAAAGTCTGTGAAATGTCCTCATAATTTCAGAAATGGAGTGTCCCATCAATTTGACACCTATTATCATGCCCCATTTGTATTTCAATAATGCAGCCTTGGCATGAGCCTCCCAGCTGATATTCACACTGTGACTCACCAGATGTCAAGTATAACTGATATGGGTCTGAGCATTTCCAGGATGTCAATGTATGGTGGTACCACTTACCATTAACTTTAAATACAACTATCATATGACTGTTGGATTGATGTGGGTTTGTGACCCTGGGTTTCACACTTTTGTGTTTTATTTATTTA